GGGGCTGTATATGCTGCGGGGAGGGGAGGAGGGATGCGGAGGACATGAGGCTGTAAGGGGTGGGAAGGAGGGATGCTCTGTGGGTGCTGTGAGGGAGGAGCTCCATGGTGATGCCTGGTGCAATCCTATCCAGCCTTGGCCTCTGACATCCCTAATTTCTGTGCTGCAGGTTGGAATTGAAATGGAGCATTTCCCCAAGTTTGAGAATGACGTGGAGTTCACCAAGCAGCTGATCTCAGAGCAGTCAGTCTTCTGCTTGCCGGCCTCGGTCAGTGTTCCCCTCAGAGCAGCCACACATGTAGAGAGTCTGGGGGGCCTGGGAGCTCTGAGCATGGGGCACCCGGTGGGGGGCTGGGAGCTCTGAGCATGGGGCATTGGGGGGAGAGGGCTGGGTGTCATGTGGTCTGCCAGAAGCCCTGGGCAGTGGTGCAATGGTCACTCCTTGCCCTAGCCAGGCCCCAGGTGGCCGCTATCCTGTCTCTCAGATTGCAGAGTCTGCCCCATGCTGTGCAGCCCATGTGTTCCTGAGCCCTGTGTCCTCTCTGCTTCGCACAAGAGCAGCTCCCTGCGGAGTTTGCACTGGCTCAGTTCGATGCCCTGTGCAAACCCCGAGGCCCCATTCATGGTGCAGGGACAAGGCTGGAGATGTGCTGCACGTCTCCCCTTCCCGCTCCAATTGCCCGCAGTCACCCGCCCGATTCCTTAGCCACGCACTGAGCCTTGAGAGTCCTCGGCTCCCTCCAGCCTCTTCTCTGGGTCCCGCCTGGGGGCTGCTGTGTGTGACCCCACCAGCTCTTTGCTTACAGCCCCTTCCCCTGAGGGTCTCTCAGCTCCTTGCTAACGCAGCAGCCACAGGGGGTTTGCGCTGTGAAAGGCATTTTACAGACGGAGACGCCGACGGGCCAGGATTAGATCCCACACCTCCTGACCACAGTGCTATGCTCCTTCCATCTGGCTAGGCCCGTCCCTGTGGGTTGTGCTCGCTCGCTGGACACAGCCGGGGACATGGCAGGGCAGGGGTCTGAGACCCCAGTTTCACCCCTGCCCAACTAACCAGCCTTTTCCCATGGTTTATTTCAGTGCTTTGAGTACCCCAATTTCTTCCGGGTGGTGCTAACGGTGCCCGAGGAGATGATGGTGGAGGCTTGCAGTCGCATCCAGGAGTTCTGTGAGAGGCACTACCAGGGCAACGAGGGGGCCCAGGACCTGGAATGTGACAAGTAGACAGGAGTGCCCTCCACTCTGCCTCCGCCCAGCCACCCCGTAAATGATGCAGCAGTGGGCAGGGCAGGGCTGCCCTCAGGTCAGCCCTGCCCTCAGGTCAGCACCTACATCCAATGCAACTGGAGCCACCACCCTGCAGAGCTTCTGCATGTTCCCTGGGCTCCTGGGAACCAGCAGCCATCATTCGATCCTGCTCACAAACCCTCAGGCACCCAGTGTCCCACTACCTACCAGGAGCCCATGCTCTGGTCTGTGTCAGTGAACCGCAGCACCTTTCATACAGGGTCTACAGCTTCCACTCAGGCAGGCAGTCATAGCATGCGGGAGCCGTCACTCAGCTGCTCGGTTTGAGGGTCTCTGCAGGGCAGTAGCTGGGAGACCCCAGGCTGAATGCAAGATGACAACTTCTAATTCCCTTCACTAGCAGTTACACTGGATGCTGAGCTGGACTCTTCCACTGACAGAGCCATGCATGGAAAGAGGGCTGTGTCGGAGCAGAGTTCTCAGCCTCTTTCTGGCTGGACTGGACAGTCTGGTGTACATGTGGCATGATGGACCCTTATCTGTCTACACCACAGAATGTCATTGACTGTACCTGATGTCTCCCCTTTACGTTGTCTAAGGAGCAGGAGCTCTGTGTACTCAGCCCTTGGTGTTGCAAAGGGCATAAATTATTGTAACTTTTTTATTAATAAATGTTCGGATATGCCTGGCCTTGTGCTGTGACCTGCCCTACTGGGGCTGCTTCTGTACCTGCCCTGGCCATCTGGAGACATGGTTCCTCTTCTATCGACACTTCTTGTTGGCTCTTCCATACCAGCCTGAGGCCAGACAGGACTGTGATCTTCCTACATTTCACTCTGATACCAGGCAAGACTACTCAACCCCCCCAGTACCTCTCTGCTGAAATATTTTCACTTGGAAGATGTGCTGATAACTACACTGAACATCATCAGGTTTTTAGCCCTAAAACTTCACCTACCAAACAGAGCATCAACCCCTAAAGACGCAGACACATGCTAGAGTCAGCCCCACGCACTCCAGAATCTGCCCTTCACAGAAATGAACATCCCTCCCCCTCCACTCATGCCCACCATTGACCTCTGCACCACCCTCCACACACACCATAGAGCTCCGACCCGCCCTCGTACACCCCCCCAACCCCCTCTCCACACACACCATCGTCCTCCAACCCGCCCTCATTCACACCCCACACTCCCTCTGGGGCCTTTTGATTAAAGGACAATCCCCTCTGTGAGCACAATTCTTCCAGCCTTTTTCTGTCAGGATCTTGATCATCGGTCACTCAATGTAACTGATTTTTAAGCCCTAAATTTTCCAATATCAAAATTAAATTTTGACAAGTGTGTGGTTCTGATCCAAAAAACCAATTAACCTGTAGTAATGGGTATCTAAGCACGACTGTGCCACTGTGACCGGAGTCCGAGTGGGGAGCTGGCTGTGGTCACTCAATTAGGGTGAACTGCAAAGAATGGGGCAGACAATCCCCAAAAAGCTGGTGGATATTCCAGTACTTAGATTTACCAAGACAGCATAAAACAGCTTCTTTATTACCTTACTGGTTACTCAGAAATCCAAACCACACAGTTCCCTTAAAGTGATCCAGCCTCAGGCCTCCATCCCGGTACCCAAGTCAAATATGATGATTTCTGAAAATCTTATGTCATCATATAAAAGAAAAGGTTCTATCAATCCCAAAGGATCGGACACATTACCTCCCAGGTTATTGAATATTCCAGATCTTTCCCAAATACACACTACAGCCAATTCTTATTAAAAAACAAAAGCGAGAGTATGGTTAAAAATCAATATACATACAGACATAAGTTCAATTCATTGAGGTTCAGATTCATAGCAGAGATGGTGAGCTTTGTAGTTGCAAAGAGTTATTTCAGAAATAGTTCATATAGTTCAAATAGTTCATAGGTTACAGTCATTGCAGGGTGTTCCAGCTTAGGACGGGGATCTCAGTCCTTTTGCCTAAGCTTCCCCTGTATGAAGCCTCAAGCAGATCTGAGATGAACAGGATCAGAACCCAAGGATCTGTTATACAATTTCATGTCCTTTTTGACCAGCTGGAGTTCCTCGGGGAACAAAAGGTCATTAGGATGACGTTGAAGGAGGTCCATCACTGGTACTTAGTGTGACAAAGTTCCTCCTCTATCTTGGTGGGTCCTGCGCTTATTGGCGGATTTTCTTGCCTCAGAGATTCACCATGTGGGTTGGGGAACAGCCCAGAGACCTTCCCCTCTGGAAGAACCCACAGTCCAGGTCAATTGGGAGGTTTGGGGGTAACCCAGGCCCGCCCTCTACTCCGAGTTCCAGCCCAGGGCCCTGTGGACTGCAGCTGTCTATAGTGCCTCCTATAACAGCTGCATGACAGCTACAACTCCCTGGGCTACTTCCCCATGGCCTCCTCCAAACACCTTCCTTATTCTCACCACAGGACCTTCCTCCTGGTGTCTGATAACGCTTGTGCTCCTCGGTCCTCCAGCAGCACACCCTCTCACTCTCAGCTCCTTGCGCCTCTTGCTCCCAGCTCCTCACACTCACACCACAAACTGATGTGAGCTCCTTTTAAAACCCAGGTGTCCTGATTAGCCTGCCTTAATTGATTCTAGCAGCTTCTTCTTAATTGGCTCCAGGTGTTCTAATTAGCCTGCCTGCCTTAACTGGTTCTAGCAGGTTCCTGATTACTCTAGTGCAGCCCCTTCTCTGGTCACCCAGGGAACAGAAAACTACTCATCCAGTGACCAGTATATTTGCCCTCTACCAGACTCCTGTACCCCACTGGTCTGGGTCTGTCACATTAGCTATAGAATTAATACAAGGCAATTTGCTTGTTCCTTCACCATTTACAGATTATTTGCTATACATTTCAAAGAGAGATGAATACAGAGATATCCGGTGTTTACAATTCATTTAAATGATAGGATGTTCTTTTGATCTCTGAATTATCAGAATGAAGCATAGACAGGGAATGTTGATTACATTATCGACCCTACTTATACATATGTAAATACACAAAAACACAAACATTATCTCCCCACACGTCTTTGGGGTTATTTATTTTGCTGGATATTTAACCGTTTCTAGCCATGCACCACAACTCCCCAGAAAGAGGCGAACTGGGACCAGGAGGGCCTTGGCATGACTTGAAAAGGAAGGAAAAATGGTTTTTAGTGATAGAATTTGAGGGGGGGGGGGTCTTTGCATTATTTTTTGTCTCTATTTGTAACCAAGTCTGTTCTTCCCTGGCTTTCCTGGGGACTGTTGAAGATGGTGCCCACTATTTCTGATGGGGAAACCCAGAACCGCGTTGCACTGCCCTGGGCTCTCTCCTTGGCTTCTTATTCAGGGTCTCTTTTCCCATCCTCTCTCCCCTGCTACAGGGCCTTTCCCCAAGTGCTGCTGCAGAGGAGCTCTCGCTTTATTAACCTTTCTACTTAGCTACTTGTACGCCAGCTGGCAGTTGCAATTGAACAACAGACCCCCCGTTCCAGTCTGGCCCAGCCTATAAACTTCTCCGTATGTTTCCCTAGGCCTCACTTCAGTCAGAGGAAGCAATGCTACCTGCCTTGGCTGTTAAGCGAGCAGTCGCCTTCTATTTGAAGAAGGCAGAGGAATTCAGGAGATCAGTGAGACAGTCTGTCTCTAATGGGGCAAGGCCTAAAGGGCAGACAGGCACATCCCAGCCCCTTTCCAAGCGGGTTCACATGTGTAGCAGGGAGTGTTATAAATGCACCTCTGTTCCTCTTCCAGAGGGTCACAGCACATACAACTAGAAGGAAGGCAGTTTCCATTACTCCCCTTAGCCATATGCCTGTATTAGAAATCTGCCACTGGGGCTCGGTTCATACATCCCCAAATCATGATGCCTTTGATCTGACACCCAGTTCAGCTGCACAGTCTGGTGAGGGAGCATGGCAGTCCTTTTTCACGGGGCTGCCTGGTCCCACCAGCCAGGGGACGAAGTGCTGCTGATCAAACTATCCATAGGCGTGCGCAGCACATTTCATTAGGGTGTGCACCCAGGCAGCCCCGCCCTAGCCCCGCCCCCACCCTGCCCTAGCCCCGCCCCTGCCCTGCCCCCATCCACTCCCTCCTACTTCCCACCCCCTGACTGCCCCCTCAGAACCTCCAACGCCCCCTGCTCCTTGTCCCCTGACTACCCCCTCCTGGGGACCCCTGCCCCTAACTGCTCCCCAGGATCCCACCCCCTATCTAAGCCTCCCTGCTCCTTGTCCCCTGACTGCCCCCCTAGGATCCTACCTGTCTCCTGACTGCCCTGACCCTTATCCACACCCCCG